TAATATACTCCGCTTTGGAATCCAAAAATGGATGATCGTTAAGAGCAATTAAAAGATCATAAATTCCATGTTTAACAATTCCATCAGCAACCCATTTTGCAATCATAATTGCTGTCATTATTGGCTAATTAAAAATAATAATTATTATATATTAGATGTTTTTTTTTTTTGATGTTTTGTTTTAAATCATAATTTTTGTAAATATAGATTTTTTATTCTTACCAGAACATAAGTCAATGCACCTGTGAGTTCAAACATGATAACAGTCAAAGATACAGTCATTCTTGTTACACCTGCTAAACATGCGGCAGCTCCTACCATAGCATACACTCCTGGATTGGCACAATCATTCAATTTTCCAGGATCACATACAGCCGAAAATAATGGGAAATTAGGATATGTTCTAATAAATAAATAAATAAATATATGATCAATAAATTATATAAAATCATTAAGTGAAATAAATAGAACGTAATGAATAACATACAAAGTTAACCATTGAACAGCAAGTCCAAGTATCCTTCCTACGCATGCGCCAATAAGTAAAGATGGAATAAAAATGCCAGCCGGAACTCTTACTCCAAATGTAATAACACAGGTCAAAAATTTAGAAATCAATGCAACACATAAGAGTAAAATAATGTCAAATATTTGATCTGCGCTGGTCCTAAGTAAGCAAACAAAATTAAATGAATAAATTAAAAAAAAAAAAAACATTAATTTCAACATAATTTCAATATAATTTTCAATATATTTTTCAATATAATTTTCAATATAATTACGCGCAAAGTCCAGCGTCGATTGATGTATCGTTACTACATTCACTGAATAGAAAATGAACTAGATCAGTGTTGGACATCCTATTAATTTCCAAAGTATTAATGAATTTTTCTGAATTAAATTAAAAGATTTCATAATAATTTTCAATTTAAAAATTAACAAACTTTGTGTAGAAATTCAAATAGTTGACTGTAGCAGTAATAAAAACTACTATTACAACTTCAACAACTGGATAATCTTTGAGCCATGTCCTATTACGAACATATTTAGTGTACATAGTAATAAATTCACAAAGAACAGCACCCAAAACTCCCTAGAAATATATATAGATGACATTAGCTTTTTATTAATAATCTGGAATTCTCATGATTTGTAAACACTTTAAAAGTGATGGAACATACCCCTAAGATGCCAAGAATCACGAATGATATGATTTCAAACATATGCCACTCGTTATCATATGTTACTTGAAACATAACTATTTTACCAGTACCAAATGGATTGATTACCTAGATAGAAAATAATAAACAATAAATAAGTAAATAAATAAATAATATATATATACGTAGCTATTTAAAAAAAAATACCTTCAAGGTAACCGCAGCCACAATAGCACAGAAAAAACTCCTGACAAGAGTTTTGCTTGGAAAGTAATAGCTTACTTCTTCTAGAGAGAATAATACGCCACCTATTGGCGCAGCAAAAGCCACACTCACCCCTGCTGCAGCAGAAGCAGATAATATTTCTCTCCTTTTACCTTCATTTTTGTTGTATTTGCCAAATAAACGAGTAAGGACGTTACCAATACAACATGCAATATGCACAAAAGGACCCTCTTTGCCAAGTGTCATTCCTGCAGCAACAACCATTGCCTTAATTTGATTTGAAAATTGGGTTAAAACAAATAATAAAATCAAATCAATCGATAAAATAATTGATTGATTTAAAAAAAATTATACGAAAAAGTATGAGAGAGAATACCAGAGTTATAGCTTTGACCCAAAGAGTCCTAACACCAAGAAAACCACGAATTACGAAACCGCTTAAAATCGTTTTAACTTCAGGAATACCACTTCCAGCCGCATATGATTTTAGTTCTTTTTTAATGTAAGAATTATGGGTTATAATCTTTGAAGAACTTTTTGAGGAGGGAGATGCTATTAAGGAATTATATGTTACAAGTATTGCAGCACAAGCTGCAAAACATATCTAAAAAATTCGAATAATAAAAATTTTTTTTTTAAAAAAAAAAAGAAAATAAATTTTTTTACATAAATAATGAAGAGGATAAAGAGGATGAAGGACTACCTACAGCAACAAAAACAAAAGCATAATAATCAAACAAAGTTTTTTCATCGCCAGTTTGAATATGAAAAGCTTTAGACCATGAAACCCAGTCCTTACAATTGCTGTTGTTTCCTGCGCGTCGGATAATCAAAATATAAGAGATATTACATACAAATAAATAAATAATACCAAGTACTGTAAACGCAAAGTTTGTTTTTTTTTTTTTTTTACCTTTTGTCCTATTACAGCAAAAATCTTTATTTTTAAAAATATCAGTAGTACAATAACCATCTTTAAGATCAGATCCCCATTCTACAGCAACATCGACAGCACCAGCAATACAAGCAGTTACAATACCTGAATGAATAAATAATAAAAACATTTTAGTTCATATTTAATTTAAAATTAAAGACATAAAAATAAAAAATTTTACCGATAAGAAATACTAGAATCCAACCCTCCGAACTATCACATAATCTTAAAATATGACCACGAAAACCTTTAACTGAATAAATTTTACGAACACGAATGCGTTCTTTGACATAATCATGAATCCAATCTATTTAAAAAAACAAGAGATTATAAGAGTTTATAAGAGTTTATAAAAAAAATTTTCAATATAAATAGAATAAATATAAATAGAATAAATATTTTTTTTTTTACAGACCAATAGTTGTATAATCATCATACCAAACACGAATACCACCACCCTCACGAACTATTGCCAGACCATCTTCATCATAAGCACCACTACGTGCTTTATACCGTCGTACAGGGTCGGCAAGTGCTTTGATACTCGCGGCCCATGTATGTCTTTTATTGAAATTAGGTCGTGTGCGATGAGCACCGCTAAATTAAGTTATGCACAAATATATAACGAATAATAAATAAAAATTTTTGATAATCAATTTATTTTTTTTTTTTATAGCATTATTCTTTTTTTTTTCAATATATTATAAATTCGACTACATTATTATTAATTATTACTTAGTGTTGGCATATCCATTAATTGAGTTGATTTAGACATAAAATTTTATATGTCCAATTGTCCAATAAATGCAATTTTATTAAGTGGCACCAAGAGAACCTCGATCATATAAATTTTATATGATTGAGGATCCATTTTTCCTCCCTTGGCGTCACTCATTTGTCCAATCACGGCTGTTCAAATAACGTAAATTTTCATATTTAGTGATTATATAATAAATATAATCTAACCTGATGCTATGATTGTCCTCGGACTGAGTAGGAAAATGACTGTAGTTTTGAGATGATTCACCACTTAACAAGGCAGTAGTTTCTTCTGAAGGAGATTCAAAAACACTATCAAGACCTTTACCATTTTCAAAGCCAGGTAGCGTTAGAAAACGATTGAGAGTTCTACGTTTTGGTTTTGGTTTTTTATCAAGTTCATCATTAATCGTTAAATTAAATTTTGGAATGTCATCATCATTGAAGTATTCTTCTCGTTGGTTTTCGCTCGCCATCTGACATATATGAAAAGGTAAAGTTTGAAAAAAAAAGAGGTAATCGATTTCAAAGTTTTTTTTTTTTAATTCTAAAAAAGAATGTTTTTATATTTCATTTAAAAAAGGGCAGATCGATCGTTAATTAAATGAGATGTATCACGAGGGACACCCTTTTTTTTTATCTATACCCGGTAAGATTTTCACTCTTAATCAAAAAAGTGCATATCGTGACACAAATTAATGGATGATCTGTTAGTTTTTTTATGTATATCACTCATTCAAATTATTAATAAATAATCAAATTTGACAAACAAGCGATGCTTTTTTATAAAGAGAAACATTTTAATGAATTTGTTAAATGTTCAAGAGCTTGACAAGTTCATTTTATATTATATTATTATATTTTATTAACAATTGATTTAGGGTAGTGCTCTACGAAATGCAGCAACAATGCAGAGATGATCATTTAGAATTGTTCGACGCTAACTTTAAATATCTACTGTACATTTATGTACATTATTTTTAACTAAATTAACTAAATTTAATTATATCATTACTTTATTTATATGAATCATATGAATAGGGCAACTGGATCCACTTTTTTTTTATATGTACGTACTGATACTAGATCCGTACAAGTTATGTGATATACCTAATATAATATATGTGGTAACTCATAAAAATCAGGTTATGTAATCGGGTACTTTAAAAAAATTTTATATTACTTAAATATTTTTCTAGAAATGCCGAAATGCAATTTACGTACGTACGTAGAGTTTTTTTTTTTTTTTTTTTTTTTTTTTTTTTTTTGAGAAAAAAAATCAAATGTTTAATCATCTGCTTTGATGATCTTTTTATTTGATGAGGTCATTTTTAAGTCACTCATCAATACTTTTCATTGTTACATAACCAAAAAAATAATAATATAAAAAAGTCATCTGCAATGCATAAAACTAATAAACATTATGTTTTTTTTTATGCTTCAACTTTTTATGAATACAGAAGATCAAGATTATCTCTTGCCAATCCTTTCTAAGCAACTTTTTTCCATCTACACAAGTATTATATACGCATATCATAACACATACGTATTCTTAGGAAATTAGCATAAGTTAAGTTTATTGTGCACAAGTGAATTCATGATATGATTAAATTATTGCTGCATTTTTTTAAATGAGGCTAACTATTAAAAATACGAATTGCATTCAAATTACCATTTTAATATTTAATATGGCAACTAGGGTTCTGCAGGTGTCAGCCACGGGCACTGTTTTAATAGCGCCAGGCATGTACCATTTTTGATAGTTCGCACCTGGCACTTGTAGCCCTAATGACAACCTTTAACTTTGATGACTGTATTTTATGATTCGTACTGACTAAAATATTTCAGAAATATTTTATATAAATAACACTCGACAGTGACGTATGGAGTCACTATCCAAATTTTATATGATGAGAGGATGCAGCTGTTTCTGACCTTCCAAATGTCGGCACCTATACTAAAAAAATATGCCAGATTTTCAATGGATCATAAGCTTTTTTTTTTTTTTTTTTGCAAGTCATATATGTCATATGATAATTATAATGAAACATGATTTATTGTGATCTAAATTTAGTTAATCTCATTAGCAGTTAGAGATTCATGGACCTATTCTAAAATAATAAAATAATCGAATAAATATTAAGTATATAAACAAATGATAAAAATAAAACAATACGTACAATATGGATGTTTGAAACATATTTAGTTTGTGCTAAAAAATGTTGTATATACCGTATATATGTTAATAGCTAGGCAAATGTTTAAATACGTTGATTTAAATCTGTTAAAAAATGTTTTTAATACATTATGACGTAATTATGATTCGACTACGTAATTTAAATGTATTATGAAAAAAAAAAAATCGAATAAGAAAATCCTTCTCAAAAACAATTTCTCACGTTCGTGGAAAATCCTCGTCAAAAGAAGTCCGTTTAAACCCGCCAAAAATGTAATTTATTGCGAAGAGGACTGTGTTGATTTAGTTGACCAATTAAAAGGTCATTCATTAACATGTAAAAAAAACTTACAAGAAATATATAAGATTTATTATTACATAGTGGCAATATTGTAAACCTTGGACTTACAATACCAACAAATGTAAACCTAGTATAGAATGAAAAATCGTATTGGCCGACAAGCAAATTTCGCATTTAAAAAATAATAGCGAACAAATATATTATTTTTTAATTTTTACGTAATATATTTGATAAATCCGAAATTATATAGCAACGTCTTGTTTTAAAAAAAAATTTCTCAGCTGAAAATTAAAATTAATTAATCAAAAAAGCAATATTTTCAGTTTCAGTAAAATTTTATCTCACTTCGATGTTTTAAAAAAAGGTTTAACCCAATAAAAAACCGTTAAAAAACCGTTAAACAGTTTTTTACCATCCCTAAATATATGAATATACACGTATATTAAAAATTATTTAGTCATTACTAAAGATGTAACTTCCGATAGTATATATTTCATTTTGTTCCTTATCGGTGTTGCAAATAGAAAGAAACTATGTGTATTCTGCCTTCTGATTTCGTGCCATTCATGCTAACAGTGCATGATTTGAAAGTATCGATAGAATAGCCTAAAGCCTAATAATCTTCTAATGCTACTGTCTATCATAAAAGGTGGGATGACAATTCTATCTGGAAAAAAATCTTAGTTTCCCTTTGATTAACATACTAGTAAAAATTAAAAGAAGTGCTATTTACACAAATAGAAGAAATTTCTCCATGACTACCGTTCCAACTATACATGTTGGCAAAATCCCAAATTACTATTGTTTGAATTTGTCCGCGCCCAAATCCCAAATTCATCCCAAATTAATTTCTCAAAAACTTCATTAATAATTTTTGTTTAAACAAATAGTAGATATTTTTATTGTTATAGATTAGTGCTTGGATCCGTTGATATCCGACTATTTTTTAGCTCAATCCGCTGGATTTTTATATCCGGTCATAAACTATCCGTTGAAATCTGTTGAATCCGGTGAATTTATTGAAAATTTTTCCTTAAATAAATGTTTCAAAAAATGTATATTTTTTGACCGAAATATTAGCAATAGAATGCTTTATTTACTGTAATAAATCGTTAATTCAAGTGCTTTCAATTACATAAGTTATACATATTTATGCATATTTTACAGTATTATATATGAAATTATTTTGTAGTATTTTGTTAGTCTTCAGGAAGCATTGCCCCAACATAATTTATATTTCTTTTCAGAAATAACATTTGTTCAAATAGATCCACATTTAAGCAACAACGTTTTGCAGTCATAAGATTCCCTGCATCACTAAACAGTCGTTCACTGGGTGTGGAAGTGGCAGGAATACACAAATATTTGTGTGCTATTTCACTTAGTATTGGCAGGCTAATTTTTTGACTGTCCCACCATTTTAACGGACATTGTTTATTTGAAATTTTCGGAAGTGTGAGATAAAGTTGGATTTCTTCATTTTTTCGAAATCTTGAATAGGTGTATACATGGTAGCTAATAATATATTTTCTTCCTCCTCCTCACTATCCATTTGTGTCATACTAATTGATGTTGACTCTAACTTCCGAAACATTTCATATTTATCTATCAAATAATTTTTAGCCTTGAGCCTTTGATCATTCGTAACGAACTCCATTTTTTTATTTCTGGGGTCAATGATTGTTGCTAAAAGAGATTCACAAGTTGGATAATCCCAATAATAATTTAAAGCATTAAGTAATGCTGACATAACATGATCAATCATTCCTTCACAGTTTTGTGGAGTGTTAATTTTAATTTGATTTATTTTTTTTTCCATTTCAGCATCTAATATTTCTGGTTTATCAACCAATTTGATCTCTTCTTGTAAATCCAAATCATCATCAAACACAGTATTTGAGCTATCAAAATCTATTGTAATTTGAGTACTAGTATCAACATTAAGCAATTTTTTTAATGAAGATATTGCAGGAAACATATATGACATTGTGGTGTATTTACTTCCACCAAGCATTTTTGTAGCATTTGCAAAAGGCTGTAAAATTTTAACCAATCATCCATTAATTGCCATTCATTTGGTGTTAACATTATTCATTTAAGACATCGTGCATCTTTTTTAGTTGTAGAATCATTATTATGGCTTAGTGTTACTTGTATAATATCAATAGCAGGCTTTAATTTAAGAATTCAAACCTATGCCAGATACATGGAGTCCCACCTAGTTACTACATCAGGTATTACTTGTAAATACTCATGTTTTTTATTAATATTATTACATATTACGTGATTTAATAATGATTGTACTGATTCAAGTTGTTCGCTTTGTTTAGATGACATAAAAAATTGTATAAGTTGCCTTGCTTATACAACTAATATCTTAACTGGCAAAAAACCTTTACCTACTACAAGTTGTAGAGTATAAGCATTGCATGCAAGCTGATTAACATCATCAATTTTATTAATTGCCTTAATTATATTTTTAGTATTGTCTGTGGTTATTATAAAACACTTCTCATTAATATCACATTCCTGAATAATTAAATTCAAAGTCTTAGCAATTGCAGAACCAGTATGTGGATATCTTAATTCACAAATTGCTAGAATAAGTTCATACATTTCAAATTGTGGATCAATAAATAAACATGTGACCCAATAAATCCTGAGTCACATCATGCCATCCACAAATCTGTTGTCAATCCACAATATTTCATTGAATTTTTTAATTTACTATAAATTGTTGCCAACATCTAATCATAAGCTAAATATATTTTACTTTTTATTCCTTTATTGCTAGATAATTTGTAAAATAGACCAAGAGCCAATGAATATTTGATAAATTTAGGATTTTTTAACATATAAAACAGTTGTGAATTAGTAACTATGTATTCAACCAAAGTTTTATCAACTTGCTCTTTATAAATAGTATTATTTTTTACTTGATAAAGTTTTTCATCGTTAGTTAGTTGAAAAACATCTGATTCACATCTTCCAAATTTTGT